CCACCCATTGACGCCCGGCCAGCGTTTCGATCGTCAAGCACGCGAACCTCGCGCTGGCAAATTCATTCCGGATATGCCTACGGCGACTACCGCTTCTGCAATGCTGCACACTTTATAAGCGAACCAATGATGATTGATCAATCAACAGGCAGCATTGCCTGCAGGACGACGTAGATGCGTCATGCGGGCGCGGCATGTTTCGGCGCTTCCTTTCAGGCCATAAAGGGACACTAATGCCTACCATCGCCGACGGGTGGACGTCTATTTGCGGCCATCAGAACGAATTACGGCAGCAATTCAGCAACAACTGAGAGGGTCATTTTGCGATGCACCAATCAGGGTTGTACTGTGTGTGCAGGGGGCACCCGATGTCCGGGGAACGACCGGACAGTCGGCAATTTAATTGCCGGTTTTCGGCGTGAAATGTCGGTGCGCTGTTCACGCGTTGCGCAATTAGATCGACGGCACTCGCGTTTTGGCGATGCCTTTATCTTCAAAAAAGATAACAGATAAGGGGGGCAGGGTAAGGTGTGTTCAAAGGGGGCACCTAAGACAACGGCGAGGAAGACAGACACACTATGCCTCACCTTCTTTACATGATGAGACCCGTCGCACATTGCTCTCGGCGTGTGAATGCCACAACGGTGGGCAGAATCCTGAGGAGAGACTGGCGACTGCCGCACGCAAACGCACAACAAAATTGGGCACCCCTTTTCGTTGTGGTACACGCAGTTAAGGTGAAATATGACACGAATGAATGTGTTTACCAAACTACGGACAATGCAAGGCAGATTATCGAAGCTTTTCTCGAAAAGCTTTGATAAAACGAAATCCCTAGATGCGTCATCAAACGCGAACATTGACCGCCGGCGTCAACGCGAGTGGAGCAACTATTATGAGTTGACACCGCAATATGACGTCACAGATCGGCGAAATAAGGTTCGTCGCAGCCAACCTTTTTAGATGGTTGTAGCGCACCCCTCCCGGTCATGTCATGTCAAAGGCTAGCTTAGCAACCTCCCCAACTCTTCCGTGCGTACGCCTATGCATGACATTGTCACTTGGTTGAGGGTCAGACAATGACGAAGGCTCTACAAAAAAAACTAGGTGACGTGCAAAAAGCTTCAGGTAGTGTACTTTCGGAGGGGGGCAGGCGAGGATCAATACATCGATTGAGCTGGCTTTCGTTTTCGAGTCGTTTCGATTTGCCACAAATGCAGAAGGGACCCTGTAAGTCTTTTACAATTACTACTGCAATACTAATAACAACGAGAATAATAATAGTAATATTAATAAACCAAGATCAATTAAAAACTGGGAAAAACCACCATAGCCATGTCTGCCCCTCAGGACCGCCGCCGTTTAGAGGGGAGAAGCCAGCGGCTTGCCCCCCCCCCCCCCCCCGAAAGGTTTCATGGATCAGTAAGTGCCCCCCCCCCCCCCCCTTACACAGAAAAAAAAAAAAAAAAAGTCCTGCTGGCTACAGGCCTGCGGCCCACGGATCGCGATTCATGGGCAGCCAATTCTTTCCGATAGTTGTCCAAACTCCTTCAGTAGCCCGCAGTCAATGCATACTTCAGATTTCCATTTATAGCATTTCGTGTATAAATTTGCCGCGTGTTGCGATGCGGTTGAGTCACACCTGCTTTTTTTATTTTTGTTGTCGCTTTTTTGCGATGGTTATTACAGATGGTAAAATGCAACACCCGTGTGTTTAAATTTTGGAGCACGTTGAAGGGATAACAAAGTAAACGAATTTTAGACAGGCAAGTTCTTCATTTGGAATTGTTTTGTCATTAAATTCGCTGGAATGGGTTATTTATGTGAAGAGACGTTCAAAATTTCGCGCCGAAACTTTTCGCGCGGACGTCACCATGAAGCCACGAATTTCAAATTCTTTTCGCGTTTTGTGGCGACGTTAATACTGCGCAATGTTCAAAAACTTGGCATGTCAAGACTTTGGGTCCTTTAGAACACAGAATAACTATTTTGTATTTTGTAACATTGACCGTATTCCCGCCGAACTCTCAACAGAGTCGTACAAAGCTTCCAAGGCACAAATGACGACCTTCTTCAGGCCCTTGCATCTAAATATGTTAACACAGCAGTAGACCACACCCCAAAACCAGCTTACAACGGACCCGATAACCCAAGCCTGTATAAACAGTTCTCACTTGAAGAAATCAAAACAGCCATTCACTGCATGCGGAAAGGCACAGCGCCAGGTGCTGATCAAGTGTCAACAAATCAGCTAGCCAATCTGAGTGATGACATGACCGAGCTCCTCACAGATCAAATTAATAGGCACTGGGAAACTGGCCCTCTACCAGCAGAATGGAAAACCGCAGACCTGATCTTCCTACCCAATCCAGGCAAACCCGTTAACATAGATAATATACGTCCGATATCCCTTACGTCATGCGCAGGCAAAGTCATGGAGAAAGCCATACAGCTTCGCTTTACGGACTACTTAGAAGAACATCACATCCTTCCTGACACCATGTTTGGCTTTCACCCGCTTCTTTCAGCTCAAGACGTCCTTTTACAGCTTAAACATGAGATGATCGACCTACCTACCCCAGGTGCCCGACGACAAGAAAGAGCCATCCTAGCAATTGTTTTTAAGAAGGCCTTCGATAACGTAAGGCACTACACCATCATGACTAACTTGATAGAACTCGGCTGTGGACCAAGAATGTATGCATACGTGAAAGCTTTCTTAGAAGGACGGACGGCCACAATACATATAAGTGATCTATCTTCACAACCTATCACCATGGGTAATCGCGGCACCCCCCAAGGTGCAGTGATATCCCCACTCTTATTTAATATTGCCCTCCTTAATCTACCGCATGCCTTACAACAAATTCCGGGAATCCACCACGCCCTGTACACAGATGATGTCACCATATGGTCCAAGGGCTCACTGCAACTCGTAGAGAGCAACCTCCAAAAAGCAGCCTCGACAGTTCAGTTAATTGGTAACGCAGCAGGTCTGGAATGCTCACCCTCTAAGTCAGAATTGCTTGTTTTCCGGCACAGATATTCGAAAACCACACCTCTCAAAATCAAGACAGAGGACACCTACGTCCAGGAAGTCAGAAACATCAGAATCTTAGAAGCAATACTTTAGCAACAAGGGAAACAACGGGATCCCAATACAGAAGCTTAGGAACAGGTGCCTCCAAATTTCCCGTATGGTTAGCCGGATTGCCAATAAGCACAGAGGGCTGATGGAACACGACCTCCTAGGCCTCTTTCAAGCTTTTGTAGTCAGCCTTGTAACATACAGCTATCCCTACCTACAAATATCCAGGACATATGAACAAAAGATCGACAACATATTGTGCGACACCCTCAAAAAGGCATTGAACCTCCCTGGATGGACATCTACTGAACGACTCCAACAACTGGGACTTCACAACACCGCAGCAGAACTATTCAAAGCCCATCTCGACAATCAAATAATCAGGCTAGCCCTCTCCAGAACTGGCATGGCGGTGCTTTCTAAGCTAAACATCACACCACCAACACATGTTAAGAACAAACATAGGCTGCCGGAGGCATGGCGGACAGGCATCATCATCAAGCCTCTTCCTCGGAATATGAACCCCACATTCCATGCAGATAGGCGCAAAGCCAGAGCCAAAGCCCATGATAAATACTCAGATGACGAGAGCGCCTTTTTCGTGGACGCCGCCCGGTCACACACAGGACAGTGCACGGTGGCAGTAGCAAACCAGGGGCAATGTGTCGACTGCGTATCTACCATATAGGATGATGTTACAAGCACAGAGGATGTCGCTATCTCCCTCGCGCTTAGAAACCCAGCGTCAACCTTCGTCCTTACGGACTCAATGACGGCCTATTGCAACTACCTTAATTAAAGGCAAAATCAGTCCTCTAGCACGCAGAATACTTTCACAAGCAGCAGAAGGCCGTACTGAGGGAGACTGGAAACAAGTCATATGGATACCTGGTCACTGTGGAGTTAGAGGCAACGAGCTAGCTCCCGCCTCTGCCCGAGCTCTCTTACCCCGGGACTCTAAATTCAGTGTAGAGACTCCAGCCCTTCTAGATCAGGCGGCCCACCTGGCCACATACACTGAAATATTACAAAACCAAAGGCTTGCGCGGAGGAAATATCCTCCACCACATCCTCAACTCAGTAAAGCCGCACAGGTAGCCTGGCGCCGCTTACAAACGTTATCGTATTCGAACCCACACGTACTCTCCAAAATCGACCCTGGTAAGTACCCCTCATCAACATGCAGGCTATGCAACACTAATATAGCTACACTTTATCACATGGCATGGGAGTGCCAATGCAACACATCCAAAACAGATGTCTTTAGGGATTTCAGTAGAGATGGATGGGAGGCGGCACTGTCTAGCCCGTACCGGGGGGTCCAAGAGGCCCTGGTGGCCTGCGCAAGGACCAGGGCACAAGCCAATGGGATCCCGGACTAGGGACTCCACCCATTCAGCAATATGTATAATAAAGTTTTTCATCCATCCATCTGCTGTTCAGCTGTGGGTGGTAGCCACACTGCTGCCAGCGGCGCTGACTAGCAGCGTGTTATGCGAATGACTTAATACGAACTATGCCTAGCTGGTCGAGAAATGGGGTAGCCGATGCTATACAAAAGCGCCAACATCTCCTAAATATATAATAATGAATGACACAAGTCCAATGAACCTGTGCTACTGGCTCAATGGTTCGGTAAAAATTGTAAAAACTATTCCAGGTATTCACTTAAAAACGTCTAATTGCTGGCTATGTAATGCATAGCACAGCAAAATGGTTACCAGGGGATAAGATATGTCAGGGAAGAAAGAGATGGGGTGACAAAGTTAAGAAGTTGGCAAGGATAAAATGGAATCAGCTTGCGCAGGATATGGTAAACTAGAGACTATCGGAGAGGCCTTCGTCATGTACTGGACCTGATTAAGCCGGAAATGTTGATAAATTTCTGAATAAGGTCGGCAAAGCAATGAGCTTGTCTATAAATATATGTATTTCTTCAAAGTACAGTAGTAACAGAAGGAACATCTCTTCTCAATGCATTCAAGAAAAAGATAATGAAAAAGTTACTACAGTGTCACAACGTCCTGCGTGTTCACCCTTCATCCAGTTGTCTAGAGAGCACCCCATTTCCAAACAGTACTTGCACGAAAATTGTTCAAAAGGTATAAAACTGCAAAACCCACATGCAAAGTAGATTCCTTTTTTGCTTCATACCACGGCAAACTGGAACAAACACAAGGAATTTAAGAAAACAAACATCAAGCAATGCCATTTCTAATGCACGAAGAATTCTGCTGTGGCAATGCAATTTCTGCACCGTGAAGTGATCAGACTCTTAATCTCATGTGCATGCAAGCTGTTAGTGACAATGTCACGTGGTCATGGTTGCTCGGCACGGATCACACAAAATTGCTCATAAAGCTAAGAATAAGTAAACATGCAAATTAAAGTTTATCAATCACTGTGTACAGTGATTGATAAACTCTACAGTGATTAAAGTTTAGTGTTATACAGTGATTAAAGTTTATCAATCACTGCAGTGCCAAACAGGTCCCACAGTAAACACAGATACAACCAAGTATTGAAAGTAATTCTTATAGTTATTGATTTTTGATGCCCGATTCGCGCTGAAATCAACTTTAACGCTCGTAATAAAAGCTATAGAACACAATGACGGTACCTTTATGCCACTGACATAGTGAGGTTCCACGTAGCAGCAGAACTGCTTGAATTCTACATAGAATGGCATCAAAAAATATTTCTTTTAAGGTACAGTCAATGTAAACCTATAACTGAGTTCTATGGCCTGTAATAGATGGGGCTATATTAGCCTTATACACAAAGCCAACACAGTGACATTTATTTTGTAATCAAAATACAAACTCTAAGAATAAATGAGAATGAAATATGCACATGACCATGAAAAGAAAGGTCGCACGAAGTGTGAATATACAGTCCTCAGCATAAACAAGTTCTTACATCTCCCACAGCACCAGTCACACAACATATCTCTATATGAGTTCATGATGAGTGCCCCCTTCTTAGCGACCTCACCCACCAAAAAACTATGATGCTATCGAGAATAGAATGAAGGCCTGAAAACATATAAGAATGTTCCGCAGGAACTCCTCATGACCACACTTCATAGGTAACAAGTGTACTCGTCAAGGAATCGCGCACAAAAGACTGGACAGAGTAAAGACAACGGTTAAGAATTCTTCGCGATGTTACTACACCTCCACCACATCCAGCAACTGACCCAAGCAACATGGCAAATGCTATCTGAGCAAGTGTGCCTTAACAGTGCAGTACAACTCAAATTTCTCGTTTTTTTTTCTTTTTTGATTTTCCCTTGTGATTGCAATGTTTTTTTTTATTTTGCAATCAATTTACAACCCCTCCTTCATGGACCATGCGTTGGTCTGAAGTATTGTTGAATAAATAAAAAATGAAAAGCTCCAATGCCAGCCAATGACAAAACCATGACTTGTTAATGACAAGGGGTATTAATTCATGCATCAACAATGAGTTATACAAAATATACTACTGTCGAATGTTGCGTGACACCAATTACAGCTGACTGAAATTTCTGTGCAGAACTAAAATTGAGAGAGAAGTGAACAGAATGCGTCAGGCACTAAGGTTAGCATAACCCAACTTCCCTTTCAGGTCTTGGAGTATACAAACTTTTTTTACTCATTGCAGAATTTATTGTTGTCAAAAAAATAAGGACACAGCACGCATGTTCAAAACATGAGTTTGCGAATTTTCGTATTTTATGGTCCTGATGGAGCCCTGCAGACTTGGAAAAAATGCTCAAAGTGGCATGCTAGTAAGCTCCGGAAATAGCTGAACGTGTGAGTGCACATGATAATTGCACATATGAAAAGGCCCAACAAAATTGTGGGCCAAATCCAGCAAGTGACACATTTTTACTTCAAGCCAATGCGATCACCACGAATTGACAGGAATATCTTGACAGGTTCGGCCGGCCAAGTGTTACGCAGGGAAGATGGATGGGAAATTGTAACCCCACTGTCTTTTCTCCTTCATACATATTGTTTTGCGGCCCAAATGTGCTAAGTTGGAGTACCTTTGAACGATAGTAGTACGCTACTATTCATATCCTAGGAAAAAAAGCACCTGTTTGGTTTAGACTGTTGAAAGCATTACTTTAAATGTCTTTTTTCATCAATACAGTATACACAATCAATTTTCATCTATATTGCATGCACATTGATCAATAGAGCTCAAAAAGTTAATGTTATGTGTTCCACATCTTGCACTGAACAGAGATGCCAATATGTCATAGAGTGTGCCAATATGTCATTTTTTTTTGTATACTTGATCAAGTCGTGCTGTAAAGCTTTTCGAAACACGATGTTACACTGAATTCACAGCTCTTTTTTCTATTCCTCTACAGCAACAGAATCATGACAAGGTAGCAGGTTACAAGTTATTTGTGCCAGGTACTGCTGAAAAAAAAGAAGCACAATGATTTTGCAAAACTATTAAACAATTTCATAAATTCTTAAAGATGCAGAGTAAGCATATTAAGGAACAGCATGTGTATATCGAATGGCAAGCAGTGAAGCAGTTTGGATGATAATAAATGCCCACATAACAGCAGAAAACTTCGTGGAGGCGAAATAAGAACAAGTTCACCATTTGTAATGATAAAACCAGAAACCAAACTTATAACACAACTCTACGAACTATTCATACAAATGGTTGACCACATTCGGCCATAACATGTCAAAAAGTACAGTATGGGCTATACAGGATGATATAAATTCAATTCTTTTGACAACAGTTGTGCAGTGTTCTGCTTGAATCAAGTTCAAAAATCCAGGAACACAGCAAGCTTGGTACACAAAGTGGCCACTGTGCAAATATTCAAGGGCTTTGAATATTCAGATGAACATTACAATTTTCGAATCAACTTCAACACATACTCAAAGTTTCAACTATTTGAACTACAGTCGAATCTCTTTATAAGAGACACTGATATAAAAGACAAATGGGTATAAGAGACAACAGTGTGCCTACAGTAAAATACACATTTATAGGAAAATGCATATGACGTACTTTGCTTATAAGGGATATCTCATATAAAAGACAAGAATTGCTGCCCAGAGCATGCCTCTTATAAAGGGGTTTAACTGTATTCGAAACAAATGAACAAATATACTGCACCCATATGACACACCTGGAAAGGTAATCTGAAATCTAGATGGGAGCCGACAGATGGAAACAACATAGTGGGATAATCGGGTTTAACAGTGGCCACCACTTTTGCAGCACACCGCTCCAACTTTGCGTTTTTCTTTCTTCTTTTTTCTCTTCTTTTTTTTCACTCTCCAAGAACAAATTTTGAATCACTACCACCTGACTTGAAGGGAAGAGAGGACAGTACTCTTCTGCTTTATAGTTTTTTCTTGCTTTTCAGGCGGCGATTATCAACAGAGACACGAGCTACCACCGTGACGTCACCACTAACCCCTTCAAAACTAACACGCCAAGAATGACACGGCGCCTTTGAAGAAGATAGATCCTCTTATCGAAACGTCTGCTAGCCTGTCTGAGGCACTTACACTGTTAACCCTGATTATCCCACTACCTGAAAAGGTAGTTTCATAACAGAAACATGGTAAAACTGGTTATTCAGATCTGCCCTACTGCAGAGCTACACTTCGTGGTCAAATATGGCATATTACCCACATAACAATATTTATCTGTGCGCAAGTTTAAAGGCACACTATACAAGCTACCGTATATTCCCGATTTGAAATAGACATTTTGTTTACAAAAACGACATCCCAAAGTTTGGAGATCGACCTAAAGGCGAAATAATAAAGCCGACGTATTAATAAGCTCGATCTGAAGTTTGATGCTATGCTACAATTTTTTTTACCTAGGCGGTTTGCTAAAAGAATGACTTCTAATCTGGAATACACGGTAAGTACGGGAAACTTTAATATGTGATGCATTTCACACCTTACACTTGCACCTTACTGCATTTAAACTTGCTTCAAAATTCTGCTACACTAATTACCACTCTCCCCAACTTCACTTGAAATCGGAAAAGTTTTTTTCACTGAAGCCAACAAGGAACAACTCGTCGTCACACCAAGATCACGCATGAGCTCAATCAAACAACAAAGAGCACGGTTAACAGGTTCACATCTTATGCCACGGCTTCGGCTTATCAGTCATAGTTAATTGGAATGCTCGAGTCTCTACTATCCAACTGGCCTGGTTGAAAATACTCTTCTGTCTGGAAACACAAGAAAAGAAAGAAAAGCACTGAAGTCTTTAGAACACCACGGACACCAAGCGTAGACAGGCTATATCGCAAGCGTACACTGAGGCAGCATTGTAACGACACAGGCGGCTTGCTGTGGTGGTTCAGTCACTAAGCACAGTTGTTGCATCCTCCAAGGCGCTAATGGCACCCGTTCGATGATCAGTCTTTTAACTATATTTTGGCCACTGTTGCAGATCACACAGTTCCTTGCACCAAATGGTGAGGCCCGTGACTACGTTGTTAGGAACGGCCGTTGTCGTCCGACATGTCGAGGAACTGTGCGTACACATCTCTCGTGCATTCCCCCTTTGCGTTGAACACGAACTTGTAATAACTGCCATCGGCACAGATAGCTGCGAGAAAAGAAAAAAATGTTTTTAAAAACTTTGCTTGTAAGGCACACAAAAAAAATGTTCAATAAGTGCAATGACTCGTATCATTGACACAATTAGAAAGAAAGGCAATAAAAAAATATATAAAATAAATACATAAACAAAATCTCGCAAACAAATTTCAAACCAAAATTTTCCAAAGCACTTGCACCAGTCACTCAATTTCGCAATACAGTAACTAGGGTGTCTAGAAGGTGTGGGAAAAGGTTTGCTAATGGCTTCCCTACGATGCAACCGGAAAGGGACGCAACAATCTCCACTGCCGTTGCGCACAAAGACGCTACGGCCGGGTTCCTCGACTTTTCAACACGGCGCAGAGATGGCACTCCAAGCAGGTTGTCAACAAACACGAATTATTAACCCAAGATACAGCAAAGTGCGGCAATCACGGGCTTGCGGGCCAGCAAGGAACTCTGCATGACCGACCGAGAGTATTGCCACCTGGTGCTTGCCGGCAGGCACTAGGGCTATCGCAGAAAGAGCAGCAGCGGAGCGCGCGTACGAGAAGCTGCCTGCTGTGTGACGTTTGTTCAAATGCTACTTTCTTTCTTCTTTTTTCCTGGTTGTCATATATAAATGCAGTGAAGAATAAATAAACCTTCAGTTGGTAGTCTGCGCTTGTTCTCGTCTTTTCCCGTCCGTGTTTTCTACCACGTAGTATACTTAGATCATGTACCACCAACCGGCCCAATCGTACACTTTGGTTACAACAGTGCTACGCTTGCTGTCTCATACGTCTTTTCAGTGTGATAGCGTCAATGCACCTAGGTATCATGACGCCCTCGATTAGCAACACTCAACTCTGCGACAGCAAGCTGCTTTCGTTTTTGCAAAGTGGTGCGCACTTGGACAAAGTCCTGCCCAACAAGGCAACAGCAATCGGCAGCCCACTGCGTTTACATAGTCGCCGATTAAGGGGTCGTGAAATGAAAATGAAGCTGCTTGGTTGTAATTTTCCCTGCTTCAATTAGGATTAGACATGCCGATTACGAAATATTTTGGTACAATTTCCAGTCCACAATTAATTGCACCCACTTGAAATTGCAAGTTTTCTTGGGCACCTTATACCCCTATAACATAGCACTTGTAATGTCATTCGCAGTGAATAACATCAGGCATTAAAGTCATTTTCGTTGCTGCTACATAGCCATGGTGAATGAGACATTTACACCTAATGACATTCGCGCATTGAATGTGTTCACTGAACTCATGGAAGCGCGACATGTGTACTCTCTCAACAGGCAGCTGACAAGAGATTATAAAATCGACATCTTAATGCAAGTGTAAACGATGTTCAGTTGTCTATTAAAGGTTGTTAACTTTTCAGTAACTTTCTAAAGTGTAACGCTATAGTGGAAGCAATTTGTGCAGCTATAATCTCTTTCCCAGGTCTGACTTGCCTTGCTTACACAGGCTCTCTGCTGTTTTGGTGCAGCGTCACCACGTGCATTTAAAACCAAGTTGTTTTATGCTATCTATGGTCACAACTGCTGCAGTTTTGTCCACAGAGTTTGCGGAAAGCAGCGTTGCTTTGACTGGTCGAACGTTGGCTGTGCCCACTTTAGGAGTTCCGTCAGTAACGTTACCGCCATAAGTGATCGTGTCGAACGACTGCAGTTTTGTCCACAGCGGTTTTAGCAACGACAACCACTCGCACCATAGAAGACAGTGCGTGCGTTGGTCGCACGCGTAGTTCCGAAGCTTTAAGCACGGCGCTCTCGATCGGCCTTCGATCGACAGTTTCGGTACTAAAGTTCATATCGCATGCCGTGATTAGAAAAAGAGTTCAAAACATTCAAACTTTGGCCCAATGGACACATGAATTTGGCTGGGGAATTTCACGAATTCGTATCTGTCGTGGTTTCGCATCACTGAGACTCAACTGTAAGTTTAGATGAACACCTCTCAAATTTGTTTATAATGTGGTGGGCTCGCAAAAAGCCTAGAACGGACTAACCTGCATTTTGTTAATGCGGCCAGATCTCGCACACACATTTCCATTTTCGGGAGATTTTCATGGCAACCCTAGCAACGGAAGAAACGGTCGCAATCCAGGAGTCTCCCGGACAATGCGGGAGACTTCGTATATGATAATGATAACACCAATACATATAGCTCTCTCCTGGTGGCGGAATATAGCACTATGCCGAGAAATATAGACTTCAAGAACTAACGCGGCAAAAGAAAAATGGTGGCTATGACGTCATCATAGCTTGTTTTGTTGACCGCAGCGTGGCGGCGTGAGGGAAGCAGGGGGGTCACCTCGGGGTTCTCTCCGAGGGTGTCTATAGCGCTACGGAGTCGCTTTCTCACGCAAACTTCAAAATAAAATTAAAATTCCTTCCCAGCTATATTCGCGCTTACCAGCTATATTCGCTGTTGATCATCATCATCATCAGCCTGATTACGTCCACTGCAGGACAAAGGCCTCTCCCATGTTCCGCCAGTTAACCCGGTCCTGTGCTTGCTGCTGCCAATTTATACCCACAAACTTCTTAATCTAATCTGCCCACCTAATCTTCTGTTTCCCCCTAACCCGCTTGCCTTCTCTGGGAATCCAGTTACTTACCCTTAATGACCAGCGGTTATCCTGTCTACGTGCTACACGCCCGGCCCATGTCCATTTCCTCTTCTTGATTTCAACTACGATATCCTTAACCCCCGTTTGTTCCCTAATCCACTATGCTCACTTCTTGTCTCTTAAGGCTACACCTACCATTTTTCTTTCCATTGCTCGCTGCGTCGTCCTCAATTTAGGCTGAACCCTCTTTGTAAGTCTCCAAGTTTCTGCTCCATAGCTAAGTACCGGCAAGATACAGCTGTTATATACCTTCCTCTTGAGGGATAATGGCAATATACCTGTCATAATTTGTGAGTGCTTGCCGAATGTGCTCCACCCCATTCTTATTCTTCTAGTTACTTCAATCTCGTGGTTCGGCTCTGAGGTTATTACCTGCCCTAAGTAGACATAGTCTTTTACAACTTGAAGTGCACTATTACCTATCTCAAAGCGCTGCTCTTTTCTGAGGTTGTTGTACATTACTTTCGTTTTCTGCAGATTAATTTTAAGACCCACCTGTCTGCTCTCCTTGTCTAACTCCATAATCATGAGTTGCGATTCGTCCCCCGAGTTACTCAGCAATGCAATGTCATCGGCGAAGCGCAGGTTACTAAGGTACTCTCCATTAACTCTTATCCTTAACTGTTCCCATTCTAGTTTTCTGAAAACCTCCTGTAAGCATGCGGTAAATAGCATTGGGGAGATTGTGTCCCCCTGCTTTACACCCTTCTTGATTGGTATACTGTTGCTCTCTTTATGAAGCACTATGGTAGCAGTTGATCCCCTGTAGATTTCTTCCAGGTTGTTTATATATACTTCATCGACACCCTGATTCCGCAGTGTCTGCATGACGGCTAATATTTCTACTGAATTTCGCTGTTTCACTATTTCGCAACATAACAGCTATTTCGTTGTTCATATGTTGCCCCTTTCGAACGCTAGGCCAAAGAGCGGTGCTGTGTCCTAGCGCGTGGTCGTACTACGCCGACCCGTACCTTGAAGCCAATGCAAGCTAATTTTGCCCTCGCTCGAGCGACCAGGCCCTGTTGTCTCGGTGTCACCATGAATCTCATTTGCTCACAGAGACATGCTCGCGACGCCCTGTGTTGTACTTCTTGCCCGACATGTGGATAAGCCGCCCCTTTTCCCGTTGCCCCTTTTGCAATGGGCTCTGTACTGCATTTTTGGTGTCGCCTTGCCTGCGGCAACAGGCAACTTGTTTTGAGAGCAGCACTGCGTACTTGCCACGCTGCGCTCTGCGACGGTCAGCGCGGCCCTGCGGCTAGTGGCTGTACTCCTTCGGGATATGAGTACATTACAACCTGCCATTAGGCAAGAAGGCAATGTTAATCCCCTGAGATTAGCCCGCTTCACGGTTTCTTAAGCTTTACAGGCTAGCACAAACTCTTCCTTTTTTCTGTTACACTTGCGCAGTCATACTTATGAACTACAGTCGGACCCTGCTACAACGAACATCGCTTCAACTAAGTTTCCAGTCTAACAAAAAAATTCGCAGTTCCCCATCAGCAATCCATACGAGTCAATGCATAAATATTTTGGACACAAGAAACACTTTTTCTTCTGCCATTCCGCTTCAACAAAATTTAACAATGCAATTCTTGGTCTCGGACATTTATGAAGTGCAGTAAGTACAATCTGGAACAGTTTGACGCATTTATATAAAATAAAAATGCATATGCAAAGTCTAAATCGTGTGCTGGCACCACTAGAAACTAGAGTGTACTAGAATGGGAGAGTGGGGCTACCCCCACCGGCCAAGCTACCCCCACCGACGACGAAGCTACCCCCACCGGCCACTGTGCATGGCTGTAAGCATGGCAACATCAATGGTAACCATGGTAAACTTCAAGTGAAGGCGATGGTGGCACCACCTGAATTTCCAGAAAAAAAGATGAAAAAAAATACCTAAGTGCTGAGCTCCATGCTGATCCATTCCCACATTTTGGTACACTCTTTGAGAAACTGCTGCTCAAACATTATAAAACATGGCGGCCGCCATTGCAATCAAGCAATGGCAATAAGACTGCCCTGCTTTTACCACTGGCTTGCTTCCAAGCCACAGACAATCCGAAGCTAAAGCTCAGCTGGTTCAATCGCTCAAATGTCTATGCTGCTACTGGGTGAAATCGTGGAACCATGCCTTTTTCGATGCACATTCCTTTCTTTCTGTTCTCACTTAGCCAGTGTGGTCGCTGATTAGAGTGACAGTTCGCCTGCATTATCAACAAAATCAGCCAGTCGCGATTAAATGATGACAAAAGAATAGCATAAAGTAAGGCATAAGTCACTGCTTCATAATACTACGCCTGATTTTTGGCGTTGTCAAATACTTTTTGACGGCAGATAGCTGCTGCTGTTGGTGTGTTAGTACAACTCTTTGGTTCGTCCTTGGAAGCCATTGCTCCAGCGTTCTTTTCAACATGGGGGTAGTTAGGCATACATGAGAATCGTGTCATGATGCTGCTGGGAAAGAAAAGGAAGCAGTCGACACATTTTGAATTTTGGTAATAGAGGCTGCTTTGTTTTGCTAGCTCAGGTCGACTATACCGTATTTACTCGTGTAATCCTCGCACTTGCATATTTCTCGCACCACCCACATTGCCCAAGAAAAATACGATTTCTTTTTTTCCTCGAGTAATTATCGCACCCCCGAAAACTGCCCCAATAATGTCGTCAGCTCGTTTCAGCCACTGATGATGATAGCGTGCGCCATCTGGCGCAATCTCTTAAGCATCAAGCGTATTATTGCACGCAGATTCAATCCACTTTAAGCTAAGCCGAAGTGGCCAGTGCGCGTTGCGGCGTGTTTTGTATGCTGTGTCGGTAATCGTGGCACGTTATGGGGTGATACTGAAGCTACACGGCTGCTTCAAGCTGCAAGTGATAGATCATGCACTAAACGACGGCAACAGGGCCACTGGTAGGCCCTTTGGAGTCTACGAGTTTTGTGTTTGCTACTGGTGACGGCAGCTGAAAGCCACTAAGACGCGTTGGGCCTGCCGTGTGCCTAAAACTGGGATTGATGGTAAACTTTATTTCTTCTGAAGGAAACTGCGGACGATTCTGTTAAATAGCCATCAGCCCAATACTGACGCCCTACGCTTACCTTTTGAGGGCTCCTGTTGAGCGACGAACGCTACCGCTACACCCGCAACGCCCACAACCTTTGAGTATGGTATTCTAATTCTCGACTATTTGCTTCCACTTTTGGTGTCTCAAATAAATCTTGCCTTGTGTTGAACCTCTGCTTTTATTGTTGAGGCAAGTTCTAAATAGTACTTTTTGAAGCTTGCTGTAAGTTGCTGGTGTGAGAATCCCCATTTGCGGCCACTTCGTTTTCTTTTTCGCTCTGTGCGTTTTCGTGGAAAGTTTTTCCTGCGTAATTCTAGCACCCCCATACTTTGCATCAGTTTTGCGGCAAAAAAAGTGCGAGGATTATGCGAGTAAATACGGTATATATATTTTTTAATTCACTTGTACAACAAAACTTTTCCTTCAATAAAATTTTATCCGTGCCCTGTGAGTTTTGTTGTAAACCACTGGCCTGCCAGCAACTGTCGCCAGAGTGTCAGAACTGTTCATAATTTGTAAAAATTTAGCACACATACCGATGACGGCGTTCTGGTCTGCTACAAAGGCACATATGCTAGGGCCACCCCCGGGCACCTGGAATTTGCCAAAGCTCCACTTGGAGCTGAAGTACTTGGGTAGGAAGCTTGCTGTTGCCCAGCTGAAAGCGCAAGATAATAGGTATAAGCACACACACTTTGCAACCGCTGTATTTGTGATCATCAGTTTTTACAAAAATTTTATATTAACAGTATGTTTGCAAGTAATGTCAACTGAACATTTCTTTCTTTTTTAATGAAAAAGTTCCTCTCATATGATTCTGAGAAAACAGGCCCCATCGAGCGAATGCCCCCTCAAATTTCACTAATATTTTAAAACTTCCGCATTGCTCAAATAGAGTGCTACCCGTCCCCTTCTCGTTCTGCTCCCCATCATGCAACACTGGCCTGCATGAATCCCTTCCAATTCAACTCAGCAGCTTGACCTGAAAGCACCTGAAACTTGTTCTCCAAATTCTATCACTTTTCCCCCACATAATGATTGCACCCTAAACTTAGTGAGAGACACCCGTGACTGGTTTCCTGGGACATGTGAGCCAAAAACTTGGCTTTCGAGACCTGTATTACAAGACGGTACCTAGGACACCATATTCAATAAAAGCAAGGCCTACAAGGTCTCAGTTTGTTGTTAAGAGCTGCTGCTTTTGTTCATCACTTGAGATGTTTCCATTCCCAAAGTCTCATTGCATTGTGATAGCGGTTCTTGTTTTTGTGACCTGTTGCAATGCACAAATGGGAGCGAGGACACTGCTGTCTATGGCGGGCACTTTTTTCTTTTTCTTGCGCACAAGTACTTTTCTGATACCATCCTGAATTTGGTGCCATTCCGAAAAAAGTCCTCCCCCCCCCCCCCTCACTGCCTTCACTTTGCCATCAATTTAGACACAGTGAAGGGGAGGGGGTAGGGCACTTGCTTGAAATTTATATTCTTATCAGTGCAACCTCCAGCCTAAATTATTCACAGCACAGCATCGTCCACATGATGCCAACTAAACCAATGCATGGCTGGTAAAGAGACTAACTCATGACACAAGGTCTCCTATAGTTTAATACAATATGTCAGTGCGCACAGCACCAGTACCACTTCGTATGTAGACCATTCACAGTTTCCAGCTAGTAATAGATATCAGATTAAGGCCAGAGGTAGAAATATGCAACCTTTAGTTTCAGAGTACTCAAACCACATTATAACAAAGTTGCGTCTTGCAGAAAAATAAATTTTTTATGTCCGAAAATTCGTAATAAAGGTATATTCCTCACACATATTTAATGCAAGACTATATTTAATTTACTTTGTTACAACCAATATTTCGTTATATCTGGGGTTTATTATATTGAGATTCGAGTCTACTTCGAAAGCGAAGCAGAATTTACATTATAGTGCCACCTACCGCTTGCTACTTCCACTGATGTTTATATCAGGTGATTTTCAAACTTGAATGTACAGTTGAACCCCGCTATAACAGAGGCCGCTTCAACGAAATTTCCGCTACAACGAAAAATTCCCGGTTCCCCGTCAGCAGTCCATAGGAGTTAATGCATAAATATTGTCGCCACAACGAACACATTTTCTACTGCCGTCCTGCTTCAACTAAATTTCACGATGCAATTCCAGGCACAGATATTTATCGCTATACAGAAAACCCAATCTACATAACACTTTGATGCATTTTCAGAACCTGGAGATACGTCGACGAAGTCCAAAACACGCGTTGGCACCACCAGAAACCACCCCGATTCAGCAAACATGGGCGCCGCCATTGCTCGATAGTGATGGCAATGAGACTTCCCTGACTGGCCGCGACTGCCCTGCTTTTGCCACTGGCTTGCTTTCGAGCCGCAGACGATCCGAAGCTGAAGCTCAGTCGCCAAGTTCACAGTTTCTTTCACGCAGCTGCCATAGCTGCTCAGTGCAACCGCGAAGCGATGCTTTTTCAGATTCCAATGCTTAGTTTATTCGCGTTTGGCCAGTGTGGTACCTAATCAGAGCGGCTGTACGTCTGCATTACCAACCAAATCAGCTAGCCCCAGGTGATGGATGATAAGAATGGCATAGAATAAGGCAAAAGTCACCGCTCCACGATACCCTGCTTCCATCTCGGCGTTGTCGGATGCACTTTGACGGCAGACAGCTCCTGGTGTTAACGTGTTAATGAAACGGTTTGGTACGTTCACGAAAGCGGTTGTAGGCATTGTTTCAACGTGGTTTTCACCATGGCCTCGCTATGCAAGAATGTAAATTGCGTTGTGATGCTGCTGAAAAAGAATAGGAAGCAGCAGACACTTTTTTTAATTTTAAGAATAAAGGTTCCTTGGTTTCGCTAGCTCAGATCAGCTATCTTTTTTCGATTTCACAACAAAATTCTCGCTTCAAAATATTTTCACGCCCCATGAGTTTCGTTGTAGCGGGGTTTGACTGTAATTCCGTCTCCCACGTATCGAAGAAGTCCTGCAACGCTTTTCAAGGTATGCATCGAATGGCTCAATTAAAGAGGTGTATTGCCCAAATAATTGACCCCCACTAATATCTTTAGAATTTATTTACACGAACTTGCAGCATGCTGCTCTGGAAGCTAAGCAGAAAGGGATGAACACGGGAGAAAGAAGTTACTTTACATGTGCCTCATGACCTTGAGCAGCTTACTTTCAGCGGAAGAACGTACATGGTGGACACAATAACTATTCAGCTCACATCAGCGAATGACAGAGAATTTGAGCACATGACATCGTAATTTGGGCATATGACATTATTTGTAAAAAGACAAGGCAATGGTCCTAGCTGTCTTCAAGAATCAATTGCAAATACCAGGCCGCAGGCTGCGCTTTAAATGCTCAGCCCGTTTGTTTTCAGAAGCCCCAACAACCGATCGGCAACTTTTTCTGACTGCACTGACAAACTGTTGTAGGATCCCTTTAAATTTGCTGAATTAACAGCATCTATCCTACTCACTCTACAATGAACTTGTTATACATGTTAAGTTGTCATATGTATGTTTGAGAAGGACTGCTTCTTACCTTGACTGTTTATTTCTTACCGAGGAATCTTGAACCGAAAATATGTGCACTGTACCATGATCACTGGAAACGCACATCAAGGTCGAGTCCAAGTTGAAGTTGATACTGGGGAGAGAAGATTAAACATTTAGGACCAACAGAATGTTACAAAGAATAATAAGGCATGACTCTAAGACCACAACACCTGCTTTAGACCGGACCATGTATGTTGGCTCTATGAAACTCAGTCACGTAAAGGTGTTCAAACATTTGCACCCATGCACCCCAAATTTAGTAGAAGCCTCCCACGCCAAACGTGAGGGGTGCCGAAAAGTTTACTTTCTTGTCAATCCCAGAAAGGCTCCTGTTGAGGCTAACAAGGAAGACACGATAAGCATGATCACAAGGGACCTCATCTTAGCAATATGATTATTCAATAGGAGCATAAGGTTTCCTACAGAATGAAGAAGATAGTGGCAGGTAAACTGGGCATTAAATATATCCTCGTTACAATGGATCTGCTTACAACGGACATTCGGATACTACATACCAATTGGTGGCATTGCGTTGACCTCACTACTTGTTCCAATGATTGAGCTTCGTTTACTGCGGATTCTCGTACAACAGACATCAGATATAATTGAGTAAAATGTTAGGTCAGCAAGGTGGTCAGGACTCCTTTGCAGTAGCCTTTTCTACCGCAGACATCCCTAATTCAGTATTTTCTGACTTCAAACACCGCTTAGCATGCATTTTGGATGGCAATAGCGCCGCAGATGTCAACATACCGATTTAAGAACGAAGGCCACCCATCTCTGGTTTGTTAATGATTAGTTATGCCGAACTACGGCAATAAAAACTTGGCGTGCAGTGTGCTTGGTTTGTGTTCTGAAGCGCTGACACTTGAAATCGCATGCTGCTGCCACCGCTCTTCCAAGCGGTACGTGCGAAGCAAGCTTGACCGAGGTCCACTACAGATGTACAAGATGCCTATTCGTGGTCCTAACAGCCAGCGGCCGAAGTGATTCGTTGCTTGCGACAAACATTGCAGCTTCTTCGCTTTCACATATCCGCTAGTGCGACGGTCTTGCCCGCAGAGTTCAGGCGGAGTTAGGCCAAGCCACGACTTTGAGCAGAAAGCGCGGCTGCGATGTGCATAGCAGCGGTGCCCGATGTTTCAAAGTACGCCATGCTCGATCGCAAGTACAAAAATATGTCCCGCAGTGGTCTTCGTCGCCAGGTCCGAAGCGCTCTTAATCAGAACGTTCCTGCCAACGAGTCAATGCTATGACAGTGGGTTCGAGAGGCGCGTGTGCAGCAAGCAGTCATAATCTGAAGACTTCTGCTTGCTGCTGCCTTAATTAAAGCATTATTGTATCCTGAATCCAGACCTAAACACACAGTACGAGTGCGAAAATGTCATTTAAGTTGCGCAATTTTAAACAGTCACAACCTTGCGACGCACAAGAAGCAGACGACGCTCCCGAAGGCGTATCCGGGAACGTGCATCGGACCAGCAAGGCGTACTGAAGCAACACGGGAGAAGCAGCCAATCGGAGGCCATGAAATGAATTTCAAACATCTGCATTTTGAATTCCGAATGCTCTTCATGAAACACTTTTACGAAAAGCCCGAAATGATGGCGGCTATAAATTTTTGAACAATACTTTTTTTTTTTTCAACTTCCACAATAATTTTGACCACCTTGGCAGGTGCAAGAAACTTTTTACAGTACTTATATGTAGTTTTCAGTGAAGATATTTTGAAGTCAGATCGAAAAAAGGCTACAGGAATTGAAGATGCGATTTTCAAAAAATCAATTTTTTTTATGCCCCATTGAGAATGAATTTGTATATGACTCAATTCTCTCCAGTTATAACAGACACATGCAGTGTTTCCATAAAAGTTTTATGTAACAGTAGCTGGATTTTACATACTTCTTTTACAACAGACCGAAATCCTCATCATGGAGCTCTCCTGTAATGAGGTTGTACTGTAAAGGGACACTAAAGGCAAATATTAGGCAGCCCCTTGGTTTGGGCATGGTTGGACTTCTGGGCAGAGCAATGACACAACGACGAAGAAACACAGTAGACACCATAGGTGCTAACTCGCAACTGGCCTTTAACTCCATTGCATGTCCTTAAAGAGGTACTGACACAGAATTGCTTGGCCAAGATAAAGATAGCCTGCAGGATTGATTTCCGTGAACATGAGTATATCATCTGAAAAATATCAACAGTGAATACAGCTTCGCCAGTATTTCACGTGAATTTCGAAAATACAATATAACCTTGTTACAACAGACCTGCTTACAACAAACTTACGGATACTACATACAAATTGGTGCCTTTATACGGAGCAGTCTACTTGTTCCAATGATTGAGCTTTGTTTACTACATGTTCCAGTACAACGGACATTCGGATATAACTGACTAAAATGAAAGGCCAGCAAGGTCATCAGGATTCCTTTACAACATGAATATGATGATGATGATGATATATGGTGTTTTTTGGCGCAAGGGCCATTTGATGGCCAAAGAGCGCCAGTTCATGGGACATGGGATGTGAAAAATGATTGTGATTAGCGGCTGTATAAGGGCCATAAAATTCCTCGCGGTAAGGCGGGTAAGAACATACAGGTAATAAAATCATGACCATGCCGTGAAAGGTGTGTGTGGTGTGAACAGATGACAAAACTTGGTGATAATAAAAGACGATGGTGGATATGTATGGCTTTAGCACAAGTGCCTCACTCGTTCATACCCTTGCGTCCAAGGGCCGTGAGGCAAGTGCTTTCTTGTGTAGCCACCGCAGCGGAAACCTCTCTAAAGAGGTCGTGCTACGGAATGACCGGGTATATAATATGAAAACTATGAATTTCTTTTAAAAACGCTAACAACGATTTATGACTAAAAAGCGGGTCCCTACCGACGAACATTGCAGGGTGTAAAGTTATATGTTGTCGGTAGGGTAATGGAAAATGTTGTTTTCTTATAGTGTCCAATTGTTTGCACTGAATTAAAATGTGAAGAACTGTTAGTACTTCACCACATCTGTCACACAATGGTGGATCGCCACCTGATAAAAGATATGAGTGTGTCGTGTATGTGTGTCCTATCCTCAGCCTCGTTAATGTTACCTGTGTATGACGTGATTTTGATACTGGTAGCCAATGGCCAAGGTGTGGCTTGATAACGTGTAGTTTGTTTTGTATGTGTGTATCCCACTTGCTCTGCCAGTAGTCCCTGAGCTTTCGTTTGAGAGACGGCTTAAGATCAAGGGCCGGGATTGATGTGGGTGTAGTGGCGGTGCTTTCGTGGACGGATGCAGCAAGCTGATCCGCCATCACGTTGCCTTGAATCTCACGGTGCCCTGGCACCCAGCACACTACAACATGTTGGTTGAGTGTATAGAGTGTGCATAAAATGGAGTAAAGTGAGACGAGAACAGGGTTTTTTTGTTTTTTAAGACTGTGCAGAGCCGTTACCACACTGAGGGAGTCTGTATAAATTACTGCTTTTTGTATTTGATATTGTTTGATGTGTTTAGCTGCCACAAGTATCGCGTAAGCTTCCGCTGTGAAGATACTTGTGCCTGGATGTAGAGGGCCAGCATCCGAAAAGGAAGGGCCAACAGCAGCGTAGGACACAGAGGAGTTGGACTTAGAGGCATCTGTAAAAAACTCAGGACGTGTGTATTTGTGTTGAAGTTCCAGGAAGTATGTTTGGATATGGGCAATAGGCGCATGTTTTGTAACTTCTAGGAACGACACATCGCAGTCTATAATCTGCCACTGCCACGGTGGCGGGTATGCTACAGGAGCCATTAGACTGTGTTCAAGTGACACTCCAGTTTCTTCAGCTAGACCCTTCAGGCGTACTGAGAAGGGCTGCCTCATCGAAGGCCTGTTTTGGAACAGAATGGAGCTCGACAGATCATTAATAGTAGAGTATGAGGGGTGCTTCTTGTCTGCTTTCACCTTCAGGAAATATACAAAGGACATGTAAGTTCTCTGCAGATGAAGCGACCACTCATTTGACTCAACATAAAGGCTTTCTACGGGACTGGTGCGAAAAGCACCCGTAGAAAGGCGGATGCCCAAATGGTGCACGGGGTCCAGCATCTTCAAAGCACTTTGAGTTGCAGACTGATAAACAACGGCCCCATAATCTAAGCGGGTGCGAATGAGGCTTCTATACAGGCTGATGAGACATTGCCTGTCACTACCCCACGTAGTACGTGACAACACTTTTATAACATTCATGGCTTTTAAACATTTTGTTTTTAGATACTTGATGTGCGGTACGAAGGTCAACTTGTTGTTCAAGATTAAGCCTAGGAATTTATGCTCCGCATTGACAGACAGACGTTGACCGTTCAGTTCAATGTCAGGTTCCGAATGCATGCCTCTCTTTCGAGAGAACAAGACACAGGTGCTTTTTTGTGGGTTAAGTCGAAATCCGTTTTCATCTGCCCATTTGGAGACCTTGTTTAAACCCAGCTGAACCTGCCGCTCACACATTGCCAAGTTGCATGACTTGAAGCCAAGCTGAACGTCATCGACATATGTACAATAAAACATATTACGGGGGATGGACAAGTGCAAGGAATTCATTTTGATAATAAAAAGTGTGCAACTAAGTACACCACCTTGTGGCACGCCTGTTCCCTGGACAAATGTTCGGGAGAGAACACTGCCCACACGGACATGGAATGTTCGGTTTGACAGGTAACTTTCAATTATGTGAAACATTCTTCCGCGCACACCAAGGTGGGACAGGTCTCTTAGAATTCCAAAACGCCATGTTGTATCATAAGCCTTTTCGATATCGAGGAACACAGAGAGAAAATATTGTTTATGGACGAAGGCGTCTCTGATCTGTGCCTCAATACGAACAAGGTGGTCTGTGGTGGATCTACTTTCTCGAAACCCGCACTGAAATGGGTCGAGCAAATTGTTTGTTTCTAAGTAGAGGAGTAAGCGGCAATTAATCATTTTTTCAAATAGCTTACAGAGGCAGCTTGTTAACGCTATAGGTCTGTAACTTGATACAGTAGAGGGATCCTTTCCCTGCTTCAAAATTGGAATTATAACAGCCTCCTTCCAGGAGGAGGGGATCACA